ACTCTTCCTCGCTGACAGTTACGAGGATTTCACTGCCTCACACCTAGAAGCATCACAAAGAAAGCTACAACCAATACCCAGTCTTAGAATTCATGCCACAGCCTAATGTAAGTTGGAAAATGTTATCACGACATTCTTCTGTGCAATGGAATATGAATATTGAAGGGTTTCTGTTTAGAGTTTTGACAGCCTGACAACCAATTCACATAATAGAGAAATGGCCCATTTGATTAATTAGCACTGAAACTCATTATCAATTTGTCTAGATTTTGATTTTCTATTGAAGTAGCATTTATGTGCTAAGAATAAAAAAAAGATTATCTATAGCATTTTCTAGATACTATCTAAATAATATTCTGATTCAACAAACTTTAAACACCTCAACAGAAATAATTGTGACTTCACTGAGTGTAATATACTTTAAACATCTCAACGGAAATGATTGTGACTTCACCGAGTGTAATATCCTCTGTGATCTGGTTAATGCATACCTTGGATTTGGGGATGTTCAGTTAAAATTAACATAAATGACTTAATGATTCCTATCGTTCTCAAGTAAATTAATGTTTTATGTAAAAATGTTGAAAATATTAATGTGGCAAGAAACAAATTATGGCAAGGGGGAATAAGACAAAGGATTGATATAATCAATTTCTCTTCTTCATAATTTGTCTAACCTTATACAGCCCTTAAGCAAGTAGAGCTGTGATCTGAACCAAGGAGTACATGGCTTTAGAGGTTACACTTCTAACTACTACATTATTCCACTTATCTTAACACTTTCACTTCTAAAATTTCATTTTCAAACCACTGCACATGCTGTCACTGCATTTCTTGTCCATCTCCAACAGATGCTGTAATCTATCCACAATAAATCATTAAACTTATAAGTCTGATACCATGGGCTTGGCCTTTTATTATAAAATATATTTGTAAATGGGAAAGTAGATTCTTAACTATAATGAAAATAACTACTTGTAATTTTTACATATTAAAAATGGAAGAGATTGAGAACATCCAGATCTTCAAGATAACACAGGTAGCTAGGGATGGAGCCTGAAAGACATAAATCTGTTTCCCTATTCCTAATTAAGACCACCACATGCCTCACTCACTCAGCAATTTTCATCCCATATTTTCTCGTGGTTTATCTGTAGTTGGTTTACAGATAAACCAATGTCCCCAATGTCCATCATCAACATGAATCAAATATAAACTTAGACTTTAAAACTTATTCCCTCATAATTTACAAACTTCAAAAATATTTAATCAGGAACAAAGTGTTCCTAAATTACCTAACTAGCAAAAAGTTTTCGTAGAGTATCTCTCTCTAAATATATTTTCAGAAAAAAAAAAGTCTACAATGTATCACTGACATATGATTCTTTAGTCCTTTAGTAACAAACAGCAACAGATAAGAAGAATAATGGTAATTGGGATATTGTTATTAAACACTAATGTTCTTTGGCAAAACCAGTATCTATATGTGTGTGTGACTCTGCTGTAAAATAAAGAATTTGACTGACCTTTGTTCCTCGTTCCTGGAAGGGAGACTCTAAATCCTTGGGATAGCCCCAGTTTCAGGACTATCTTTATTATACAAATGAAATGATTTATGGCCCTTAGATATCTTAAGGGTGGGATCTGGTCTTGAAAAGACCAACCACATGATTAAGAAGTTGGGGCTGTGAGCCATGTGATATGAACCTGACCTCCCATAAAAACTCTGGACCCGAAGCTCAGTAGAGCATTCTGGTTGGTAAATATATCGATTGCCAGGAGAGTGACACACCCTGATTCCATAAGGAGGGACACACAAGGTCTGCATTTCCTCCCAGACTCTGTGCATCTCTTCATTTAGCTGGTCCTCCTGTTTTGTATCATTTGTAATGAAACTATAATCACAAGTATGGCACTTTCCTGAGTTCTTTGAGTCATTCCAGTGAATTACCAAACCTGAGGGAGCTGAGGTAACCCCCAAGACTATATCCAATTAGTCAGAAATGTGAGGGGCCTGGGGGTCCCCCTGAACTTGCGACTGGTCTGAAGTAGATATGATCTTGTCAGAGACCCTGCCTTTAAACACTGACTTGGGATAGTTAGTGTCAGAACTGATTTTCAGTACACTAGTTAGAGTTAAAATAGTTGGAGTAGAAATAGAATAAATTCTTATTATTTTTAATAAAGAATTATCACTATTGCGTCAGACACATAGACATTTTATAAAATCTGATTTGAAAATTTAAGTTGAATAGAAAAGCTGAGAAGAAGCACATTTATAAGTTTTTGGACGTGGCTGTCCCCTCCAGACATTACCCTAGTCACTACTAGCATGTGATTCTAAAAGCTAATGGAGTCTCTTGGGTTTTGAAACAATTTTATAAAATCGGAAATCTCTCTAATGCTTATTTCCGGCATTGATTATCGTGGTAACTTCCAGCCGACCTCTTATTTGGTCCTCAACCACTAGGAATTCTATAAGCCAGAATTTTACTTTAATCTTTTCTGTATAAACTAGAAATTCAGCAAGACATAGCTACTCAGAAGGGATTGGGGGTATCCTAATGTTTATAATACAGTTTTTAAAAGAGAAGAAAACTAGGTTCACTGTTCATCTTCTGTACCCATATATAGCATAGGTCTGAAGAGTTTTTAATTTTTGACATGCTTAGAAGCATTAATTTTTGAATTGAAAATCTATCATTATAACAGATAGCAAGCAACAACTTGCCAACAAAAACCTGACACTACTGGAAAAATAATTTGATAAAACTCTAAGAACTTCTCATTGTCAAAATAAACATACAAGATGTTGTTCTAGTTGTTGAAATTATGACTTTTTCTCTTTGCGATTACTATAATTAAAGAGTAATTTTTGACTAGCACTCTCTACACATCATTTCTGATCATTAAAATAAATAAAAAGGAGATACTATTGGTCCCACTTTTAAATAAAAAAAAAAAGAATTAATAAGGCTGAGCTGGTAAATGGTACATGAGGATTTAAACCCAGGTCCCTGTGCTTTTAAAGTCCATCATCTTTGTCAACTACATCATGGTATAATGTACTTTTGTTTTTTACAATAATAAATACCTTGAATATATGCCTAAATATGGCTTAAATTTTATATCTTTATAGAATTTTTTTTCATTCATTCATTCAATCGGTATCTATCGAAGGCTTGGTTTTCCAGTGTTATTTTAGGCACTGGAGATACAATACTAAGCTAAGAGACAGTAAACAAATGAATGAATAAATGTAATTCAAGAGGTAATAAAAATGCTAAAAAGAAAAATAAGGCAGGATAAGAGATAGTGAGTGCTGAGGTGGTGTGGAGTAGGAAGTTGCTTTAGACCAGGAAAGGACTTTTTGATATAGTGACATTCAAATAAATAGCTCAACAAATAAAACTATATACAATTATTTGACCATAAAATATGGCCAGATATCTAAGCTTGAAGGTCAAATCAAAGGCATCTTTCAGGAGATGGGTTCCTTTAGCTCAGAGGCCATGGAATACAGTCAGTATAAAAAGGATAAATAAAACAGAAACAAAAGGAGATTAAATGCCACTGTGGAACAGGGGTGTCTGACATTTCATGCCCTTAACTTTATCCATTGCCCTGGAGAAGAGTGTGGGAGATTACAGAAAAGACTGTTAAAGATTTCTGTGTCTTTGAAGTTTATGAGAAGGCAGCAATAGCCCAACCCAAGATTTCTGAGACCCGCTCTTTCATTATGATATAAAACTACCTGTTTCAAATCCTTTCAGAAAAAGGTAGGAAGGGGAGGTCACTATACAACTGCCACTATGCTATTTTCATATAACAAAAAGGAAAAGTTGGTGAAATATTTGTGTAGCATGTTTGATAAATAATAACGAACTCTTGTGTCACTAGATATTTAAGTGTGCATAAGACTTGTTATCTTACCTTAACAGGAGTTGCTTTTTTTCCTTCCCCTGTTTCCCTTTGCAAGAACAGCCTTTAAATTCTTTGACTCCCTGAGACAATCAGTCAATAACAATGTGTAATGTTTCTAAAATAGGCCCCAGGATACAGTGATGAACAATACAGACAGGGTGTCTGTTCTCATGGAGTCGACTGTCCAGAGAAGCCATCACTCCCAGAAGCCATCACTGCCCACTTGGAACCAACACACACACAGGTCCACTGATTCCAGGATCTTTGGGCTGATTCTCTCACCTCTATGACATATTCTACCAGTTAAATGCAGCCTGAAGTTCTATTTAATACTTTCTCTAAGCCCTTGATACATAATCCGTGTCAATCCATAGGAGAGAAAAACCCTCTAAGTTTATATAATTCATTCATCAAATTCCTATAAATTTATGAAGTTCACTCATTGAGAGCAGGAAACAGATTTCACTAATCCACTTCCTGGATGTTGTCCCTTCGCAAATTGGACAACTCGATACATAACTTAATTTACACCCAAGAGTAAGTTTCTTGATTTTTTTGAAAGGAGATGTTGCTAAGGCAAAAGGGGGCTGGGGAAATAATAGGAAAAAAGCACAGATATAAAAGGAAGAAGATGAAAGTAGTGTCTGCAGGATGGAAAATGCACGATCTAAGTGAATTTTTGTCTTGAATTTCTGAAACCATTCCCATCCTGTCTTGCCAGTTTTCACTAATATATCGGGAACTTTTGCTCAAAGATCAGACTGCAGCTCTTGGAAATACTTCATAACTAATGAGTTTCTGTGACCATTTTGAACTGATATTGGTATTTTTTCCTGCTTCCTCTCAAGTAAAAAATCAGGGAAGTTCTGACTTTAGCATTGGTAATGGTAACAAAGGTGCTACTAGAAGACAGGGACACTAAACACACTAAATTGGTAAACAGCAGAGGAAATATAGTTGGGGAGGGGGAAGACTAAAATAGTTAAAATTTTCGCAGGCCACAGTATCCGGAAAGTTATAAAAAAGGACTAGATATACATGCAAGAAAGCAGGTAACTAAGTATCTAGTCGGAGCAATGGCTAGACACAACACCACGGGAAATGCCGGCCTAGAAATGGGCCCCAACTTAGTCATCGTTTTTAATCAGACTACAAATGATATCACAAAGGAAAACGTCTCTGATAGTACATCAAACACTTTGTAGAGTATAACACTCTTAGTTGAATCTGAATTTGAACAGCAGCATAATCTCTCAAAGGTTCTTCTTAACATGCATGCTTTTTTCAAAAGTTGAAAGTGAATTCTGCAGAGCATATCTAATGCTCTCCCCTGAACACGGTCATATTATCATTTTCATTATCGACCTGCTCCACTACGCTGGCTTCCTCCCCTCATCCTGTACTCTGCCCTTCTGCCAGGAGAGGGCAGTACTGGGGAACCACACACCTCTTCAAAATTGCTGCTTTGATCTAGGTACACACACAAATGTCTTTGGTGGCTATTGTCCAGTGCAAATAAAGAAAGCGGAGATAGGCTAATCTAGCTACCTTGAGCAGCGACGTGCTAATCTTCCTTCCTCTCCTCTCTTTCTCTTTCTTTCTTTCCTTCCTCTTTATTCTTTCATTCCTGTCTTTCTCTTTCTTTTTGCAGTATATTTATCAAATGCTAACACTGTGCTAGGCTCCAGATGCAATTGTATCTAAAGAGATGATAGAAAAAGAGAAACAAACAAAAAATAAACAAATTTTTACAGCAACAAATCTAAAAAGTAAGAAACAAAATTAACTTTATTGACTTACCTTCCCAACCTGTCTGTCCTTTCCCTCCCTCTGTTTTTATTTTCCTCTTTTTGTTTATCATCTCACCATCATGTCAGTTTCTCAAGTTTAAAACTTGCTTTCATTTCCCATGTCTTTTTAGGAGACCAGCCCAGGAGGATTCCCCCCATGATGGCTCTGAATACTTTGAGGACATGATGAAGGCCGGGTGGTGGGATGCTCAGGGATCTCCTTGTGGTAGATGGAACTGTCGTGGAAAGTCTCAGAGTAGAAGAGGAGACATTAGGTAAAACAAGCCTAATGGCTTCTCAATGCTGTGAGTGTTTCTCTGTGTCACGTAGCATTCTATGTAAGTCCTGTCACAGAAACTAATTTCTTTAATCTTAACAACATCTCATTTTATCTCCATTTTCCAGATGAGGAAGCTGAGACACAGAGGTTACATAACTTTCTCAAGACAAGCTGATTACAAATTGAAGAGCCAGATTTCAAACCCAGGAAGTTTGGCCACAGAGCCTCTGCTCTAAAAAGCATCATCTTTCTTTAATGAGTATAAATTCCAAAATGCTAAATTTTTCTTTAAAGTAAAAATGTGGATTTAATGACGTCTTGAGAAGAATTAAATAAACAGAAGGCATATGGTATTTACAATTACCAGTTGTGAAAAGCATTTATCATGGACAATTCCAAAACTGGTTATTAAGAAGAATGTTAATAGCAGCTCTAGCGAATCCTGCCAAGAAAATGCTAAAAACTTAGAAATCAAAGAAGAGTTCTGCAGAAAAGAATAAGCTTTAGTGGGACCAAAAAATGGGGCTCAAACACAGAAGTCTTTTTAAATGAATAGGGAATCTGCAGAGTAACAAACTAATGAGCCAAATTCCAAGTCTCCTTTCTCAGTTCTGTGGGGAGCTCTGTGCACTATTGACCTTGCTAAGATGCGCTATTCACTCAGGTTCTGGGGAATGTTTTCTCCTAGAAGATCAGAACATGTAAAGACTCTGGTCTCATTTCGTGCATGAGTGTTCTTAGTCACCTGGAAGTTAAAAGGAGATTCCACAAACAAAATCTGTTTAAAAGCAATGTTGATCAATTGGGAGCCTATGTTTCCCCAGGCAAGCTGAATTGCAGTAAAAAATTTGCATTGAAAAATACCACTGCCATTTCCTCAAGTTAGTTAACAACAAAAATCTGGGATGGCATTATAAAAAGAGTTGTCAATCCATATTATAGAATTGTTCATTATTACTCTGTGTTATGGGCTGACCTGTGTCCCCCTAACTGTCATATGTTGACTCAATTGTGGAAAAGCTTTTGCCTTTAAGAAAGACTATAATCTATTTTATAGAATTTTTAGGCTTTTGTCACTTGTTTTTTTCACTCATTCTAATGTAGGAAAGAGGCATGAAAACTACACAGATTGACTAAATGTTAAACCAAGTGGAATTCAGAGCCTGCTATGTGCTGCTAGACACAAAACCTGGTGGATCGGCCATATGGCCAGGCCACGAGGAACCTACAGAACAAAGGAAGATTCCTGCAGCGCTTACTAACGAATGTTTACTCATACCATTAACGTTTACTCATACTATAAAAGGACAATAAAGCTGCACCTCATACAAAGATAAACCCAACCATTCATTCCATTCTTTACTCCCTATAATCAGTAATTTTTCATAGAAACTAAGAAACAGATATAAACTCAATTCCTCAAACACTCAGAGTCTCATTTTCTGACTCTGAGAGGAGACCACACTCTCTATGGAGTGTTGTTCCTTCTCTAATAAACTTTTCTTTGTCTCTAACTCTGGCTAGCTTTCGAATTCTTTTCCTGCCTGGAGCCAAGGACCCTCCCTCTCTCAGCAAAGGACTTGAGTCCCCACTCTGGAGGATTCAGTAAAAATGTGAAGCCTAAATTCTGTCAGGAACTGTGTTTTTCTTTGTCTCTAACTCTGGCTCGCTTTTGAATTCTTTTCCTGCCTGGAGCCAAAGACCCTCCCTCTCTCAGCAAAGGACTTGAGTCTCCACTCTAGGGGATTTACCCCATCCTGCATCAATTCAATAAAAATGTGAAGCCTAAATTCTGTCAGGAACTGTGTAAAATCTCAGGGGATAATGGAAAATGAGACTAATATAATCACCGATTTATTTAATAGTAATGAAGAAGCAGTTTGTCATGTGGGTGAGTGTGTCTCTTAAAACTTAAATGCCAGGCCCTTAACTAGCTGTGTGCCCTTGAACATGTAGCTAAAATTCTCTATGCTTCAATATCTTTATTTTTTCAATTAGAGATTAGGACCTACTTTAAAGCAGGATTTTCTTTTTAATGGATTAAACAAAATAGTATATGCACTATATCTGGCAATAGTAAACATTTGATAAATGTTGTTTTTTATTGTTAAGGTTGCTATTATTTCTATAATAATACAGGGCCATTCTATCACTGATAGAAATTTCAAAGTAGTAACATAAAAATTCCTGAGGTGTTTTAATCCTTCCTTAACTATTTTAAAAGTATAAAAGTGTTGAAAGAGATTTGTGAGGACATTTCCTGGAGGGAGCAGCCCCCTGGGTGGTTCTCCACTTTTCTTCAAGAAGGCAACGGGTTGCTTTGTGAGAGACGGGAAGAGTTAACAAGGACCAGTGTTTCTTCCTTCCCTTCAGCCTAAAGAGAATCCGTTTCCGTTTCCATAGAACCACTTGGAATTTGTTGCCTGCAACTGAGAGACTCCGTGATGCCTGGCATACACCTGACATGTGGTCTAGAAGGGGAAAGGTAGAGAAGAGCATTTGGGAAGTAACTACACTTGGTGGGGACAATGAATGAATGATGGTTCTTTGTGGACTAAATATGGGCTAAAATAGAAGCGATTTCAAATTCTTCCAGGATGACCACCTGGGAGGGTGACGGGGATTTCAACAAGAAGAAGGCATGTAAAGAATATTCCCACCAAAGGGAAGGCCAGTGGAGAAAGAACCAGCTTTAAACATTCTCCTAAAGCCAGAGAAGACGCTAGTTTATGCAAGGTTCCGTCATCAGTCAAGCAAGAACTTCGCTGTCCTGTCCCCTATTCTCTCTTTCCTTCCTGATTCATCCCTGGTATAGTCTGACACAGCAGAGAGATTAAAATTAAAAGACTGCAGTATGTCTCTGCACCCTTTCCCACCAAAGCACACGGTCAACGAACTGCAGACCTCAGAAGGAGCAGGAAGAAGAGGTAAAATTGTACCTTTGATAGAAGAGTGAAATGTTAATGCAAATTTTAGAATACTAGGTTTATTATTTGACAGAGTATTTAGTATCTTAAAGTAATCATATGCTGTGTTTACTTTTTCTTTCTCTTACTAAGAGTGATCTTAAAGGTCACAGACCTACTCAGTTTTCATCTCGTGACAAGAAAAAAGCTCTGCTTGGTAAGTAAATTGTAAAGGGGCAGTCAGAGACAAAATAACTTTTTTTAGGATTACAGCCCAAATATCAGGCTTCTTCAAAGTCCCTTCTACACAATTATCAAAAACCTACTCCATGCTAGGCACTATGCTAAGTATCACTTTATTACCAATATTAATTAAAATTGAGGGAGATCTATCAGCTTGGCACTATACTAAGTTCTTTACATGGATAATCTCAAGTATTCCTCACAACAATTTTATGAAGGATGCGGCATGATTACACCGATTTGCCCAATTAAGACAATGAAATGCAGACATCATACTAAGTAATTTTCATAAAGTCACCAGTATATTAAGTAGCCAGAATTTTATTCTATTTCTTTAGCTGAGTCATTTACATCTTTATTGTTTTTCAAACAGTTGGTTTTTCCACTTATCATTAAAATTTTCTTTCTCAGAGAGATTAGTGTCAACTTAGTCAGGGCTTACTAGTCTACATTTTAGCTATCATTTTCCAGCAATTTCTCATCATGTGCCTAGAAGTAGTCCCTTAAAATTTGATTTTATTTTATCAAGGAGCTCGATTCTCCAATAAGTAAATTTGAGTTCAAGGTATAATAAACCATCAGTGGATTTAGAAGAGACAAGGTTTAAGCAGGATGTCAAGAGAATTCTACTCCAGGGCATGTGTTGTTCATTCAGAGTCCAAACAAGGAACTTGAACTTCATTTAATAACAATTAGGACAGCCCAAGGAAACATCCTCTAAAGGGATATCACAGAATTCATGACTTACATATGCCATGTGACTAAATGACATTAACTCACTGTATAATCACTGTATACTAGATATGATCACTACATAAAACAATCCTATAAGGCAAATGTAAAAAAAATATTTCTAAGAAGGATGCAGTCAGTAGGACTAGAATCCAATGATAACTTTCTCTCATTAACATACAATTCTCCAACCCAAAAGACAAACTATGCACATTTCATTGTGTATATAAAAAAAAAAAATCGTACCTTCATCACAGGCTGGTTGTGGCCAACAATAATGAAAAATGTGTTTGCATTACACAAATATGTTCTGCTTACATTTTCAGTCCTGAAGGAAGATTTCTTTTTATTTAACCAAGAATGAAGACCTAAAGCATGACTTAACCATTTAGCTTCAGGAATTAAGGTCTAAGCAGAAGGATAATTCACAAATTCATAAATCATCCATTCCTATTACAGCTATTATCTGACCATCAAATTAGATAATAAATTAGAGAAGTAATGTATTTTCTTAAGTGTTACGACTTTATTAAATTATTAAAATAATGTGTCTACCACTTGGAATACAATCTTTATTATTGTTTTCTGCTATAGATTTTATTTAGCCTTTGGATAGCATCCATATTCACAAAGTGCTTTGGGGTCATTTTGTACTTCTTTTTGATGGTAGTCCTCTAAGGCTACCTATGATATTGAATGAGAAATCTATCCTCTGGCCTTAAAGATAGGTCAAGGAAACCAGAGGAGAAAAAACTACAGCCAAGAATAGTTTTACATTATTTTTTCTGTGCTCACAAAATCTGAAATCCATGTCTCGTCTAGTAAAAAAAAAAGCAACAAAAACAAAAATCTTCCATTTTGTTTAGTCCATACTTTTTAAATTATTTGTAAAGGTTTAAAGCAAAGAACTTTAAGTATATTTTGGTATTTTGAATATGAAGTTGATGGTCTGAACTCTATGACTAGCAGTTTCTTGATTCATTTTCTCTGGTGTTATTCGATACATGATTTTACATGTTCGATTCCTCCAGGACTAGTAGACAAAGCAGATGGCAGCCTCCTTAAGAAACTGCCTTTACTTTCTTAATAATAATTTGGATGATAATCATGATGCTGTATTGAAACATTAATAGAAGCAAATGTGTCCACAACGTCATTCTCTAGCAAAAAGCAAGCTTGCCTTGCTACACCAAATTGCCAAGCAAAAAAAATTAAGAAGCAGTCTTTGTTTTTAGACTAAGGCTTTCAAAGTCAGACTCTTTTTATCCTGAGTCTGTTTCAGACTTTCAGAAGCTGACTATAGATGCCCCAGGGTCTTTGCAAACCCTTAAGTAGAAACACCATCTGCCTTCAGGATCATCTAAGGCTTTCAGGATCATCTCCTAGTCCAACTTCTTCATTTTACTTGTGAGGAATACGAAGTTCAGACATTGTAGCTATTATCTTCATCTTTCTTTCGTCTCCTCCCGTGTATTGAAACAATAAGGAATTCACATTGAATACTTTACAAATTTGGAATACCATTTACTCAGCAGTAAAAAGTAATTCTTATTGTAAATTATTGAAATAAACTGGTTTATTCCTGCCCCCTTGTAAAGTACTAAATTCATAGTACTTTGTGAATTTAGTACTTTATGGGTAGATTCACTTTTTTATAAATAGACTAATTGCACTTACATTACATTTTATAGGCCTTAGTCTCATAAGGAGTTAAAACATTTATCAGCATTGTCCTCATTCAAAGATAATTTGAATAAATAATCTCACAGAATAAATTCAAGTCAGCACTCACCATAGTCCTAAATGGCTTTACACATATCACCCTCTAGTGTTTCAAAGAAGCAATTTGCATTCTGGCCATAGAAAAGTTCAAATCATTGTAACTATTAAAGTCTCAGCATTGTGAATGACCTGGCCATGGACAGACTGGACAGCATAATAAGCTTTATTTATGGTAATCCAGTCCCTTCCAGGGGGAAACTTATTTCAGTTTCTTTGGCAAGATAGCAAGGATTTTTCTTTTTTTTTTTTTGGTTGTTGTTGTTGTTGTTTTAATAAATGAACATAAAGGAGACTCTAAAGCCAGTTTCGTATTCTACATAGATGAATGCAATAGCAAAAAGGATGAATGACTCAGTTTTCTCTGGTTTCTGCTTACAAAGCAGCATATAGCATCGTCCACTAATCAGTACACATTATTTTTAAAATAATATACCAAAGAATTATTTTGTTTCCTAGATTTTGAATACAGCACTGAAATAGACTCCTGTGACATAAGTGCTAATGTATAAATATAAATATCTTATGAACATTTGATAAAATAAAGCATGGCAGCCTCATCACATAAATTGACATAGTATGCAGTGCAGTATAAATTGGACTATCTAGAGAGGCACCACCAATATTTTATTCTAGTGAGAAATTAAATCAAGTGTTTATATGATATCATTAGATTCCATAGGACTTTTTCTAGGAGAAACATTTTCAGAAGATCTATACAACATTTAACACGAATTTCCTTCTGTTGCATATGTGCCATTAGCCTGGGCATTCAAGGCTAAATCAGATGAAATAGAATCATTTCTTTTAAAAACAAATTGAGTACTAACTAATGGGTAAATATAAGGCAAAAGCACAAATAAAAAAAACATAAAAATAAAAACAAAAGAAAAAATGTGTTTTTACAAAAAAAAAAAAAGAAATAAAAGCAATGTTTTGTCAGCATCAGGCCCAAACTAATTATAGGTAAGGGGCCCAGAAGGTGGTGGAATGTACTTGGTGAGTGAGCCGAGTGCACGGCCATCAGGCAGCAGATGGAGGATTTAGAAATAGTTACTACATGGTAGGAGGAAAAGCAGGTGACAGCACATGTGGAGCCATAGAGGGTCCAACTGAACGAAATTAACCGGGCAGAGAAACAGAACCAAGTACAGGACAGATCCAGAGAGTCTGAAAACAGGAGAGGAAGTCCAGCCTCGAGCTCTAGAGCTTCAGCGAGGAGATCGTTATTGGGTTCCTTCAGTGTGAAAACTTGAACTAAAAGACCTGATGGACTGGGAATTAAGCATAAGTAGACAATCCATAAAAAGAATGAGGTTGATGTACATCCAAAATGAAGGACGTGTGTGCATAAAAGAGAGACAGAGACAGAGATAGAGACAGAAAGAGACAGACAGAAAGAAACTTGATTACTTTTTCCTTTCCAGCTTCTGTGAGGAGCAGCTTCACTATTGCAGTTGGAGTTCATAAAAGTTCCTATATTCCTACTTGTCCTCACCAAGCCCTCCTTGACTTAAGGTAGTATCAAAAGATAAACTGAGACATATTAAAAAGTTTTAAGAGTTTGTTTGAGCAAAAAATCAATTCCAAATACTCAGCACCAAACCGAAGTGGTTACGAGGGCTCTGCCGACAAGAGCAGGGGAAAGATTTGTACAGAGAAGGTGCAGAAGCAAAGCACAGAATTGTTGGTCAGCTATAGCTCAAGGCCTAACTGGCTGTTTGTGATTCCTTGTCCTTGGCATTTTGATTTTGTAAACCTGAGGCATTTACAGGCTTAGATTTTGATTTGCTTATGCAGACTGCTGTGGCATTAGAGCCACCTCAGTCTAATGGCCTCCTTGTTTAATTAACTTAACAGTAGTTGGAGGAAATTTCTATTTCTTGTAACAACTACTTTAGTTACGGGCCTTCTACCAGCTGAAAAGTAAGCTATTTTGTAGAATTTTGGAGGGAAATAATAAGAAAATGGTACTCTGACCACTGCTAATATTAGCAGAGAATTTCTCCATGTCAAAGACATCAACCTGACAGTTTTATTAGTCCAATAATCTTTTGTTTTGATCAGGTGCAGCTCTTCTTTCGCTGGGAGGGCCAGTATCCACCAGCAGTTTGTTCAGCAGTTTCAATATATGCATCAGTGCTGCTCCAAGGGTTCCAGATGACAGAGAAACACAGCTGCTTCTTCATTCAGCAAAGGTTAAATCGAGAACATCCAATAAACCTGCCATTCCAGTTAACCAGCAGCAGTCTTTGCTCTCAATGAGGGCACATCTCTTCCCAAGGGTGTTGGTTGGATTAAAATACCAAAATTGATATTTCCTGGATAATACTTGCTATAACTGTAAACTGAAAAAAGACTAATGTAGACTTTGTATTGGAATTTTCTTTCTCTTTTTTTTAATAAATCATTTTTTCTACTACTTTTTTTTTTCACATCCATATACACGAAGATAGATGTTGG